CTGCTCCCCACTCTGTCTCTGGTGAAGCCTCTCACTGCCCCTGCACCTCTGGCCTGTACCCCAGTTCTGTATGTACAAATAAATAAATAAATCTTTGAAAAAAAAAATGTCTTCCTGGATTTTTCTGACTTTGCCTCAAATATGTCTTCCTCTTTGGCTGTGGGATCTGGGCTTAGAATTTAAGTCAATATACAAATCAATACAATTTGATACTTTATTGATGCTATTCATTTCTTACTAATAAAAATATTTTCCTTCTAACTGCTAAATAAAAGGAGTCATTTAAAATTCACTAAATAATAATTACAATGATGATTATTCTTGTGATTTCTAGAACTTCTTGCCAAAGAGCTTAACTAGTTGGAGAATTCCTTCAAGTTCATTGTTCTAATGAAAGCCATGTTGTCTATATCCACATACTAATGACAACTGAAACTAACATAATTTCCTCTCCCAGCATTAAATAAGGCTGGGAGCAGGCATATTTCCCCCTCTTGTGTTAAACAAAGCTGAAGACAAGCAAAAACTAATCCAGTGCTTATTCCAGGAAATCCTTCTTTCTGAAAGATAAGACTGCACCCAAAATAAAGTCACTACTAACAACTTAATCTTCAAGATCCTCTGAGACCTTGTCTTACCAACCCAAAAGCTACTAGGCTTTAAGCTCTATGCAATACCAGCTAGCTGCCCATCTTGTAAGATCCGTCTATAAATATTTTTCCCTGACCAATAAAGTGTTCTTCTTTACTGTAATATACTTCACTTTGCTTCAGCAACAGGTTTTTCTGCAGGTCTTTTGTGAAGCCAACAGTCAACACTGACCTCTTCTCGCTTATGTTTTTCTTCTTTGGGGATGTTATCTGCTGGTGCTATGTCCCCAACGATGCATTCTGCCATATCATGAACCAGGGCTAGGCGTACACATCTGACCGGGCAAGAAATAGTAAATAATTACACAGAATATATTTAACTACAAGTTCATTCCTTCCACTTCTTTGAACCTAAGTAATAGATCTTTTCTTTCTCCATCCTCATAGACCATTTTAATGCAGTATTTTCCAAAGTGATTATGTTACTGGGCTACACAGTTCTGAATCAAAACTTCTAGTGAATATTCGAAACAATACATGAGAGAGCAGGAAAATTATTTGCATGAATTATTTTTAAAATGCCTGGTTTCTTAAATATCACTTTCAAAAGTTGATAACCTCAGATTGCAAGGCCAGAAGATGATCTAGGTATAGCATTTTCTTACACAAAATTCAGAACAATCATTTTGCAATGTTTTAGAGAGATGTCAAAATGAAGCCCATTATAGAAAATTGGGTAGAGTTGAACAGGTCGGAGTTGGAATCCAAAAACCAACACTGATTAGCTGTGTGACTTTTGCCAAGTTACATAAAAATGCTCAGTTTTGTCATCCTTTATTTGTAAAAAAGGGGTAATATTTTATAATATTGGTATGACAATTAAATTTACTAATTTATGCTTCTTACATATGACTGTTCAACAAATGGCTATGATCTTTAGGGACAATGATTAATGATTAAGATAATCATTGTCAAAATAATGAAAGCAGGTAATGAGAGAGAAGTCTCGGAGGACACTGTTTTACCTTGTTCCGCTATTATCAAGGTAGTCCAAAGCCTGGCAGTCTCCTGTCAGGTATACCTGTCTATGGCTTCTCTTTCATTTGCTTCAAATCTCAGGTTCCTCTTAGGTTCATCTCCATTCAAAATGATGTTCATCTTGTACATTTTACCAAAAATCTCCTCAGCTCCACACCAACTACAGAGTAATAGGACTCCTCAGACTACTTAGTGAACTCTTGGCTTAAGTAAAATTGATTTCTTTCCTCCAAAGCACACCTTTGCTTCCCTACCAGCAGGACTTTAGTTTCTCTGTCATCCTGTCTGCATGCTGCGCCCTGTACTTAGCAGCCGAATCTGCCCTTTATGGCATAACCCTGATTCAGCCCCTTCCACTGAGCCACTCAAAACAAACCTCTTTCCTATTGCTAATATCCTAACACAACTTATTTTATATTAAGAAGCCGGTTTGGACCTATTTAACTCATTTTGCTAAGAAACTTTGCTCTGTACTCAAAAAATATTATGAACACTGTTGCTGACTAAAGGAGAGGACACCCCCTTCTCAGCTAATCTTGAACATGCCATTCCAAAAAAACACCTCCTAAAAAGGAACTCTCCTGCATTGCTGGTGGGAATGCAAACTAGTACAACCACTATGGAAAACTGTTTGGAGGTTCCTCAAACTGCTAAACAT